TGGCGATCCTACTGAGACCTAGCCGAAGTCGAAACTGCAGTCCACCCAGAATAGGAGGCAAGGTTAAGTAAAATTCTGATATCTTCATGCCTATCATGAAAAAAGTTAAGTATCCGATCTTATTCGCTCTATTCCCACTATGAGGAATACAGTTCTTATATAATAAGTATAATGCATATTTGTTTTAAGCGTCCATATAAAAGAGGCAAGCTCTCCACATACTCACAATATCTTGCACCTTTTAGGTTAACTAGCATTATATAATGTTTCCCAGAGTAAAACGTATTCTCTAATGATATCAAAACGATCAGAAATGAGGTTTGTTGTGGTCTGAGCTAAATTGCTAGTCTCGGAGTCTACTTATTATGATTAAAAGTTGAGGGTCGTCTAAAGGACTACAACACTAGAATAGAAAATACAGAGGCCTACAAATATATTAGCCAATTTATTAAAAATACAGGCTTATGAATCCCTTACAGCCAACTTGAGTAGGTTTTCGAGACTACCAGTAACTCAGCTATATGAGATGCATTCACTATATTTTGTTTAAGGTGATGAAGGGCTGGTCGTTGAATTTTCCCATAATGATACGAGTAGATCTTGCAGTTCCATTTAAATTCACGTAGCCTTGCTTCACAAAAGGTATTCTCATCCAGGGTGGACTTCAGTTTCGACCTCGCTTAGGTCTTATAAACCCCCTCAGCGGGACTTGAACTATGAAAATGCGGCGTATAATCCCGACAACTTAAACACTACGCCACATTGCTATAAGTGTCCTTGAGTCACATGGCAAACATGAATTGCAAGGAAGGCCAGGCATTTTTCCATATCATATTCTGTGATGGGATTATCGATAAAGCAAAGTTATATTTGCTATAACAATCGATTAAATTACTTCCTTTTCGTTTTTATAGGTACACTTTCGAGATTACCAGTAAGTTCCGAAAGAATGTTCATACTGAGAAGCTTTTGAAGCTAAGAGGAAATATTTTTACAAAAGCTAGACAAACTTGGGTCGCCTGAATAAATGGTAAGACTGATAGTTGTGCTTTTCATAATTAAAGAAGTGGAATGCCTCAAAATGCTTTATGCCTCAAAAGTCCTTCTTTCAGATGGCGCGCAGTTAGGGTCGCCTCCTCGCTATTTACAACGGGATCTGAAATCGGATCGGGCTCATCAATTACAGGTGTTACCACTTCGTGACTCAGCTGCCGCTGTTGCTGGGTCAAAGAACGGCACTTTCAAGGGTAAATGCTATGCAAGAAATTGGTAAAGCTGCCGTTTGACTAACATGGCCCAGTTTTAGAATTTCTTTCTGCTAAAGCTGGCATAAGTAAGATAATCTGCATTTAAATAATTGAGGATAAACAAAATTTAATAAATTGCTAACGATCCAAAATGTTCGGAGAATTGTTAGTTCCATTTAGGATGGTTTTCATCC